ACTTCCCTATCTGATCAATATTTCACATCCTATTCCAGATTGTTAATTGCAATGCACATAATATCTGGTCATCCATTACTTTCAGGCTGACCTTCCCTTCACCCATTCTAACAGTGTTCTTTATCTATCCAGGCTTTTCCTTCCACAACCCCGGTTATCATCCTGTGTTTTACAACAGTGGTCTTATACGGTATTTGTCCTTTTGAGACTCATTTCTATCACTTGGCATAATTTTATCTAGGCTCATCCATGCTATGTGGTTTTTCACAAGTTATTCGTTTTCTATGCTGGATAATACTCCATTTTGTTTCTCTATTCATTCGTTAGTTGATGGGCACTTGGGATGCTTCCATCTCTGCTGTTCTGAATAATGCTTCAGTAAACATTGGTGTGCATGCTTCAGTTCATTTTGCAGCTCTGATTTATTTAGAGTACATTCTCAGTAGTGGGATAGCTAGTTCAAATGGTATTTATAGTTTCAACCCTTTGAGGGAATGCCAGATTGCTTTCCATAGTGGTTGTACCATTTACATTCCTACCAGCAGTGCATGAAAATTCTAGTCCCTACTTTAGAAGGGGTCGTGGTACTAGGGATATTGTAGCTAATGTTAGATGGATCTTAGCTGAAAGCAGAGAATACCAGAGGAATGTCTGTGTTTCATTGACTATGCAAAGGCTTTTGGCTGTGTGGATCATAACAAACTATGGCTGACTCTAAGAAGAATGGGAATCCCAGAACACTTGATCGTGCTAATGAGAAACCTATACTGGGACCAAGAAGCAGTCGTCAGAACAGAGCAAGTAAACACTGCATGGTTCAAAATTGGGAAGGGCGTATGCCAGGGATGTGTCCTGTCTCCATATCTTTTCAACCTGTATGCAGACAGATTATCCGGGAGGCTGGGCTCTATGAGGAGAAATGTGGGGTCAAGATTGGTGGAAGATCTATCAACAATCTTCGATATGCAGATGATACAACCCTTCTTGCTGAAACTGAGGAGGACCTGAAGCGCATGCTGCAGAGGGTCAAGGACTCTAGCCTCCAATATGGATTGAGGCTCAATGTCAAGAAGACAGAGACTCTCACCACTGGACCAATTGGCAGCATCAGGATGGATGGTGAAGAGATTGAGATTGTTCACAGCTTTAGTTTGCTTGGCTCCACAGTCAACACTCTCGGCACCAGTAGCCAGGAAATTAGAAGACGTATTGCGATGGGAAAGTCTGCTGTTAGGGACCTCTCCAAAGTACTGAAGAGCAATGGTGTCTCTTTGGAGACTAAGGTGCATCTGCTACAGGCCGTGGTCTTTGCTATCACTTGTTATGCATCAGAGAGTTGGACAGTGACTAAGGAGGATAGAAGGAGAATTGATGCCTTTGAGCTTTACTGCTGGAGAAGAGTATTGAGGGTACCGTGGGCTGCTAGGAAAACAGATTCATCCTGGAGAGGGTTAAACCAGGCTACTCCTTGGAGGCAAGGATTCTAAGGTTCCATCTAACACACTTTGGACATGTTGCAAGGAGGGACAGGTCCTTGGAGAGGGACATCATGCTTGGTAGGGTGGAGGGACAGTGCAGAAGTGGAAGGCCCCCTATGAGGTGGATTGATTCAGTGACTGGGGTAATTGGGATGGGTGTATCAGAGACAGTGCGATTGGCACAGGACAGAGCAGAGTTTAGGGATTTGTACATAGGGTTGCTGTGAGTCGCAAGTGACTCGCTGGCACATAACCACAACAACACTCATTATCACCAGGATTATTTGTTTGCTCTCCTGTTGAACTTTGCCATTGTTGCTGGCATAAGATCCCATTGTTTCATTTATTTGCATCTGGACTACCAAAAGAACAAACAAGAGTATATTGGAGAGGGTGAAACCAGGTTGCTCCTGGGAGGCAAGGATTTTCAAGCTCCATCTCACATACTTTGGGCATGTGGCCAGGACGGACCAATCCCTGAGAAGGACCACATGCTCAGAAGGGTGGCGAGACAACGCAGGAGAAGACCCCAGATGAGATGGATTGATACAGTAACTAGGGCAATGGGGGTAGGTGTGTTGGAGTCATTGAGAGTGGCTCAGGACACGGCAGGCTTCAGAGCTATTGTACAGAAGGTCGCTATGAATCGCAGGTGACTCGACAGCACATAACAACAACAATCTATGCCATTACGTTCAAAACTCTGGGAAACAACACACCACTTACTCTTTGGAAAAATAATTCAGTCCCTGATAGACCTAAACCACTTATTTATTTAGCTTCACTATATATTTGTAATATGTGCCCCTCTTGGGATATTCCAAGCTCAGGAACATGTGAATGAGAAAAAATGGGAGAGAAAGGCTTGGCATATTCTCACTAGCAGAGGCAGAGGAACATTGTTAAGATGGAAGGTCATTCAGGTCGACACTGTCCTGTCCAAGAACTTGCTGTACCTTTAGCTGCATCCACATTCTTCAAATGCTGGCAGTTCCTCACTGTCCCGGGTGTGTCTCCACTGTGGTACACCTAGTGGCAGCTTAGCTTCACACTTGTTCAGCCTAAGGACAGGTTGGTGGCAGGGTAGACAAGGAAATGTTCTCTGTCAAGAACAAGCCTGATGAGAAATCCTACGGTCTGGTTAAGGAGTGAGGGTGTCTGTGCTACTCAATGCCAGGGAGTCACTGTGCCAAAAGGTGGAAGTCCTGTGAAGTGCAGGATGGGTATGGGTGGGGTGACATTTTCAATAGCGTGGCCTGGACAGCATGGCTGCAGAATGTGCACGGCAAAGAGATAGCCAGCCAATCCACAGTGAGGAGCTGCAGAAAAGCAGCAGCTTGTGCAAAGCCCCTTAGGCAGGAGTGACCTGGGATGTTCCAGAAAGGGCAGGTGAGATAGGGGGATGGAGGAAGACCAGAGAGGAGAAAAGCGGTACCACATGGGGCTTCCTGAGCTACCCTGAGGGCTCTGGCTTTGTCTCTGGGCCACACAGGAGGGTCTGGAATAGGGACCATGGGGCCTTTTATTTTCAGATGGCTCAGTAGGTTCGGCAGTCCATTGGTGGGGCTGTGGTGTGACAGGCAGGCTGATTCTGGGTTTAGTAGGGCAAGGGATGGAGGATCAGACTGAAGTCTTGTCTCTAGAGGACTGCCCCACAGTTTGGGCCCAAGTTGGAAAGTGAGTCTTACCTGTAAAGGAAATGGGGCACTGGTACAGTCCTTAGGGAGTTGTGCTGCTAAGCCCAAGATCCTTGCCTCTGGTAGTTGGAATTCACCAGAAGCTCTGAAGGACAAAGATGGGCATAAGTAATCTCCTCCTGTGTGATTTACAGCCTTGTGAGCCTAATGGAGAGTCACAATGAATTGGTTCCCACTTGAGGGAAGTAAGTTTAATGAGTATCTGGAAAGGGAGGTCCTTGTGCCCCTTCTCCTGAGCCTTTTTCAGCTACCTCCTTCAGTCCCTCTTCAGACTTTATCCACATGACTCTCATCTGTTATCTTTTTTCGAGAAAGATGAGATAGTCTGTTCCCATTAAGACCCATAGCCTTAAGAATCTGGTGGAGGATTGCTACAAGTTGAAATCTACTCCTCGCCTACTAGGTCTTGATGGCTTGTTAGCAAGGAGCCCACATGGGCAATGTCTTCTTGAACGATAGGACTCAATTTGTAAGGGAGGTAAGAAATAATCCTGTTTCACTACTTCAAACAGACTAGATTCATTCAATGCAAGTCAAGACAATACTAAAAAAAGAGAAACCAAGAAAACCTCAATTGGTTAAAGCCTAAGAGGATGGTATGGGTCTGTGTAACTGAAGGGAGAACGAGTTGTTACTACTTTTACCATTTGTCCAAATATTTCTCTCCTAGTGGACAGAAACAAGTTGAAGAAGCTGGAAAATTCTCATGTTTTGATCTCTTCAAATAAGTTCCCTTTGTTTATTGGTGGAGGTTGGAGGGATGTGTAGAAGCACACCTACAAGCTATGAAGTTGTGGGGAGAGCCAGAATTCTCGTGGGAAGCAGTATTTTCTAGAGAGCAATTGTGTACTGTTGATAAAGAGCCTTAGGTAATTAACTATTTCACTCATTAATTCCACCTGGCTCCATCCATGTTACAGAAATAAGCACTCATGCAAAAAAAATATAGATGACTTCCAATGACCCTATCCTAAGGGGGAAATAGCAATGTTTTGTGATTACCTTATCATCATCCATTTGATGACTTAACCATTAGGTATATATTAGTGTTATATCTACACAACGAGGCTGTTGTCTAAGCAGAGCAAGAGCAAGACTAAAAATCAAGAAAGGAGTGGATCAGGGATGTATTGGGGAAAATTCCCTATAAGGTGATAGTTGTGTACTGTAGAATGGGAACTGACCCATAGTTGACCCTTTCGTGGGTTTTCAGAAGTGGTTCATTGCACAGGAGATTGTCCATCCTTGTCCCATGGAGCAGCTGGAGGCCTTGAACTACATGCCTTTGGGACTGCAATGCAGCTTCTGGCCAGTCTTCCCCAAACTGTCTACACTTACCCTGTGTTACTTGAATACCTGAGGGAGCCCTGGTGGGCTAGGAAGTTACTTTGCCAGTGCAAAGGCAAGTGGTTCAAATCCACTAGCTGCTTCACAAGACAAAATATGGGCTGCTTGTCTTGTACAACTGATGGACTCTGAAAACCCAATGGAGAATCTGCTAGAAGTCAGTTTCCACTGATGTCACATAACAAAATCCACCTGACTACATGAAACTTAGAAACTCTTCTTCAACTTCTGACAAGTCCCAGAAACTCGGGAGGCGCACTAGCAGAAAAGGAGCCCAGGCAGGGGATAGAAGCAGTAGCTTTTATTCTGAGCAGTGACAAAGAGTTAAGCAGCCCCTGCCTCCATTTACAGGGAAAGAAAACAAGTGGGCCCCGAGCACGAAGGGCCCATGCAGCCAACGGGCTTCATCGTGATGTGGCCACTGCGGCAGCAGGCGTCAGGGGCCAGGCAAGGGCGACTGTCGGGCTGGGCCCCAAGCTTAGGCCTCAGGCCTCTGGCGGTTCTGCGGCAAGTGGGGCCTCAAGCTCTCGATGTTCCGAATCACCACGTAAAGGTAGCGGAAGAGGTGGTTGATGGAAGCTTGCAAGAGCACCGGGTTTTCAGCAGTCCACCTGCTAAAGGGAGGGTAAAGAAAGCCACGTTCCAGGGGTGGCTCTGCGAGTCCACCCTGTGTCCCTCCCAGAGGCCATGCGATTGAGCCCCCCCTCCCCCCCACCCTACCCCCTCCAGCCCCATCCCCCGCCCCACCCCCCACCCCACCCGTTCAGCACGTACAGAGCCAGGGTGCTGCCCTTCAGAGAGTACGAGCTCTTGATGACTCCCTGGTGGTTCTGCACGATGGGGGCCAGGGCCCTGCCGGCCATCTCCACCTCCAGGGGCGAGTGGAAAGGCACGGTCAGGGAGCTGGGGGGGGGGTGGTGTCAAGGATCCATCCAGAGGGGCTTGCGGCGGGCGGCGCCCCATCCCCACCGGGGGCCGGCCTGCACCCCCCCAGGCCGCCCTCCCCCCACAGCAGCCACCCCAGGTGGGCTTGTGCCCCTCCCCCACCGTCCTGCGCGATGGGGGTGTCGGGGCGCTCTCTCTGGGGAGGATACAACTTGAACAGTGGTCTCGCTGCCCCTGCAGGCCCGGGGATCGGCTGGCCCTGAGGAGCGGGGGCCCCTGGGCCGCTCCCGGCTCCCTGGGCGCCGTCACCATCGCTGCCGCCACGGGGCGCGGTGTGCCCACCCTGCTCCTCGGGGCTGCCCTGGGGCTCCAGGCGGGCGGGGTCCTCCGCGCCTGCGCCCCCGGGGCCTCCATCTGCGGCCTGCATGGCGGCTTGCTGCGCTTCGGGCCTAGCCTGGGCACGAGGGTCTGAGCTGACGTCCACCACCGCCCGCGGCTCAGCGACAAAGAGGATGACGGGGCCCGGGCGCCGCACCAAGCCCCGCCCCGGCGCCAAGCACCGCCCCGCCCCGCGCCCCAAGAGAGCCCGGCACGCCTGTGCCAAGGCCTCTCTGCCTGTGCGCGTGCGCGTGAGGGGGCACGTGACCCGGTCTTGCGGGGCGGGGCTTGGCGCCGGGGCGGGGCACGTGTCCTGGTCCTGCTCGGCAGGTGGCCGCTGTCACTGCTGCCTCGAGGCTGGCCTCCAGGCTCCTTCTAGGTGTTTCTCCACTTCCTCCAGGTTTGTAAATGTTGGAGTAGAGCTTTTCATAATACTCACCCGTTCTGGATTTCATTTCAGCTAGCTCTCCTGGGGTGTCAGCGCATTTCTGGAGTTAGTTCTGCTTTTCCTTTCTTTTATTACGTTTGCTAATGGTTTGTCTAGTTTACTAAGCCTTTTCAAGAGCCGCCTCCTGCTTTTGTTCCTGGATTCCTTCATTCTTTTTGCTCTCACATCGATTTCATTCTTTAGCCTTAAAATGTTTCTTCTTGAGGTTGCGGGATTAGCCTTTTGTTCTTTTTCTATTTGCTGGAGGCGTTAGGTACTTTATTTCGCTCCTTCCTTCTCCTCTTCCTTTTTTTAAAAAAAAATAATTTTTTTTCATAGTGTTTTGTTTATATAGTTCACATACGTTGTTTTTCACACAGGATCTTTTCCATTTCCTTTATCCAACCCTCCCCCGACCCATCACATTGTGCAGCCCAATGGTTACCACCCCTGCCCATGCTCACCCCTCTGTTCCCCCTCATCTGCCCCTGGGATACTCATACCCATTTTATTAGTTCCCTTTCTATTTCTACAATAATGGTCTTATACAGTATTGGTCCTTATGGGACAGAGCTCGTTCACTTGGCATAATGCTCTCCAGTCCCTCCCAGGTTGGGCAGGGATTTTCAAAATCATTGTTCTTGCAGTGTGAATGTACTAAGTAGGGATTTTCAAAATCGTTGCTTCCATCGTGTGAATGTACCACAGTTTCTCAATTCATGGCATTGTGGTTGGACATTTGGGCTCTTTCCATGATCTTGTCAGGGTGAATAACTCTGCTGTGAACATTGGGGTACAAATCTCCATTTATGTCTCATTTCTAATTTTCCTCTGGGTATGTTCCAAGCAGTGGAATAGCTGGCTCTTAGGGAATGTCCATGGTCAGCTTTTTAATGAAATGCCAAACTGCCTTCCAGAATGGTTGTACCATTTTACAGTCCCACAACAATGTTTAAGAGTTTCTGTCTCTCCACATCCTCTCCAACCTGTATTACTTACTGTCCTGTTAAACTTTGCCACCGCTGCTGGGATGAAATGGTATCTCATTGTGGTTTTGATTTTCATCTCTCTTACTGCCAGTGATTTGGAGCACTTCTTCTTGTGTTTGTTGGCCATCGGAAAACCTTCTTCTGTGAAAGGTCTTTCCATGTCTTTTGTGCATTTTGTAACTGGGTTATCAGTCTTTTTCTTGTGGAAGCCCTGTAGGATTCTGTAAACTTTTGTTATGAGACCCTTGTCTGAGATGGTTTTGCCAAATGTTTTTTCCCAG